TCCACAGAAATTCTGGTCCTTCAGGTCCAGGACTGCAAACTGGAATTAGCACCTTTCAACACAAACAGAGTATTGAAACCTAACAAAACACACAGAGAAAGTGAGAAACCTCCTTTGTCTGAAGTGGGAAAAGTGAAACCACACTGTCTAAGCCTTTTTCCTCAGGAATGGGCTGTATTGTTTACCAGAGGCACAGCTGAAATAGTCGCTAATAAGTCTCAGGACAAATCCAATTACCGTTATTGTCGGTAGCTTGGATTGGATTTCAGAAAAAGTTATTTCGGACCTCAAAGGCTTTGTTGATGCTGATAAATAGATTAGCGCATGCAATTAAACGATATACTGTGCACTCCGGCGATAATTTAGAGCTGCTGGAAACATCCCTCTCAATAAAACAGCCATTACAACAAATAAACAGGCCAAGGCTGCTGACTGTCCATTGTTTCTCAACTCCACGTTAACTCCATCTCAACTCCACAACGGCTCATTAGTTTCTCAACAATCCCACCAGAATCTCCCCTGCTGTTACAGCTCTGTGGGCTGAGCTGACACAGTTCCCACTCGTTTTCTTCCCAAGACCAAAGGCAAGGGAGCTGTTGGCCAGGAGATGCGTTCTCACGCTCTCGCAGCGAAGGAAGTGACTCGGTGGTCTGGACGCCGGACTTCGCCGCCGGCACAGGAGCAGAGCGCGCTCTCCAGCTGAGCGCAGCGCGGCCCGGCCCGCAGCTGACGGCCATGTCTCACGGCCTGCTTCGGGAAGCAGGGAAGTACTGCGGCGGCGCTGGGAATGTGTCGCAGGGAGTGATCCTGCATGCAGAGAGGAGCCGGTGTGTGTGCCGAGTAGGGGTGTCGGAGTGGACAGAGGGCTGAGGTTTGAGACTTTGCCTTTCAAGTCAATACAGTCCAAACAGCTTTATTGCCATGAGCGGTAAATTGCAGTGTTGCCAAAGCATATGCAGTCAATACAACATTTACAGACATCTGTAATACAAATACATAATAGGACATTTACACAGAACATACCGCATTATCGAGAGACAGGCTCACTGCTCCTCAGGCTGTGACAGGAGATCACATACTGGGCTGCCAGATCAACTGAGTTCCCTCCCCCCTCTCCCACTAGGATTGGGAGGTATTCTGATTCAGGCAGGTGAGGACATTTTGGGATTAGATTTGTTAGGAAAAAATGTTTGTCTGATCCCAGAGTATTCCTCACAGTGCAGCAGAATCCTTGTTTTCAGTTTCTATGGTCAAGCTGTGGTCACTGAGCCTGTCGACTCTGGACAGCCACGTCTGTCTGTGTCCAGTTTCTATGTCCAGGCTGTGGTCACTGATGCTGTACTTTGTCAGGGTCTGTTTCTCCCAGCTGTTTCTCACCCTGGTCAGATCCTCACCTAGTGTGTATTGTCTGTTTAGGGTTCTGTAGCACTCCAGCTTGTGTTGTGTTTGTGTGTGTCCCCTCCAGTGGGTGAGGGAGTGTTGTGTGTCTTGTGCTGTGTTGTGGGTGACTGTGCTGTCATGTGGCTGGTTGGTGTCATTGAGCTTCGGGATCAGCTAGTTGGGGGGGCTCTTCTCCGGGCTCAGCCTTTCTCAAAGTGTCTCAGCCCTGGGTGTCAGAAGTGAGGTACTGAGGGTCACTGACCCCTAGATGCCAGACTGCAACAGCCGGAACGTAAGTAAGCTTTGCAAACTAAACGTCATGAGTTTATGTAAAACGCCGCCAGTTTGGGGCTTCAGATGATGGAATGTTTCGAAATATACACAGCAAATGACCCCGGGCGCTGAAACGACATGCAGGAATTAAAATCACTGGCCTCACTCGGGCTGCTCCAGGCTGCAGACTTCTCGAACAGGAGAGCTGTTTGTCAGAGCTACAGTCGTAGATCAAATTCAGTTACTGTCGATAAAGTGCTGAATAAGGAAAATCATTGTGGCGTAAAGTTTTCTGTTGGAAACATTTTACACTTTAGACCAGGAGCAGGCAGTCCTGCCCCTGAAAAGCCACAGGTCCTCAGCTTTGAAAACCGACACGTCAATCAGCCATTTTAAAGAGCTGGAACACGTTTCAATCAACTGAACTCATTATTAATTGGGTCACTGGGTTCGGCAGCTGCCAGATGTGATCGTGGAGTGCTACACGGTGTTGGAATTTTTTAGCAATCTTTCCAAGTGTTTAGAAGTTGACGAGTTAAGGGCGACCTACAAACCCTGCTTACGTCTTTCCACAGACACCCGAAAGAAAAAAATAAATAAATTAGGGAAGGCGGGACTATAGCAGCTGTTTCCTGGCAAGTGATTATAAAATGCATCTTAAGAATTATACAGAGGAAGAA